ACCACACAGTCCCTTCGAGTTCCAACAGGCAAACAAGTCCACGATTCTCCATGGATGAGAATTTTCCTGCTCTACCGACTACCTCTCCACCCTCATGGTGAAATGAAGGGCAAGTCTTTTATGTAGAGTTTTGAGAAGATGGATTGTGCAGTACCAGAGCGTACTGTCTACAAATTCTAGTGGTGAATTTTTCCATGATAAATGCTGCATTACGAATATAATGCCAACTCCTAAAGTGGAAACTTACTTTTCGATGCTGAAAATTTGCGATTGCACAGAGCTTAGCTAATAATTTTGTCCAGGAAGTCCATTCGTCGTCTCCATATTTGTCAATCCTGCACTCAGTCTCCCGACCAACAATCCAGCTTAAAATAAAGCTTTTATTCCCCTTCTCCTTATCTACACATCTCTTTATCCCAGGTTCGTCTAAAATATGGCTCACCCGGCCCTACGTCCCTCTACTCAACACAACCTGCGTCAACAATGCCTTCCTCTTTTCTTCTTCTGGTACATGATGAAATGGTGACCAAAGCCAGATGAATGGTGATTGGTAAATGGTAAACGGGTGAGATGAATAACCTAGTTCATATTTCCTTCTAGCTAAATCATCATAACTCAAGACTATTCCATTCAACGCAGTCCACATTTTTGCACCTCATGCAGTCGCGTATCTTACTGATGGGTGGAAGGCTGAAAGTGTCAGCCTCGTGTTCATTCTCATAATCATCATTTGTATTATCTTGGCACTATCTCTATCAGTTCTGTGTGATTACCACCTTCTCACTTTGTTCACATTCGGCTGGCGAGTGACTACACACGAGGAAGAAGTTGAGAAACGAGATAGAAGCAAAATTAAATAGAAAAAGGATTTTTCAGCTTTTGGCGACACAACTTTAAAATTAAATGCGAAGCGTAGCAGGCACAATTGCTCAAATGTCATGAAGAAGTGGTTCATGGCCTCATTTCTGCACATCTCACCACGCGCTAACAGTAAGGCACACCAAAGTGGCAGCCTCTTTGACC